AGTAATGAATGAGGGTAATATATTTATAGTGGTTGGTAATGTAGTTCAAGTAGGATTCATCTCCTTATTTTCAGGAGTTATTGTTGGGATTAGTGTTGGACCATGACTAGGAGTCCCAACTTATGTTTATCCAAAATAATAATCCCTTGTAACTCAGGATTCCTTAGGTTGGGGTGATTGAGTTGAGCTAGGATCTGTACCGGACAAGGACTAGTGTTTCTTAATCGAGGGGTACTTGGAATGGACCAAGCAATACCCCGAGCACATTTGTCCCGAGGATTGTCAAAGTGATTCTAAGGACAAAATTAGCTCGTCCATCCTCGAATATCTCGAAGTATATTTTATGCTCGAGGAGTCTAGTGCAGTGATCAGAAAACTAGACCCCTTGGGAGTCCCCATTCTCGAGATAAGGTATGAATGACCACATCAGTACTGATAACCATTAATTTGCACTTCAAATCGATTTTGAGGAATGAACAATTTTTATGTTCGATAGTCTAAAGGGTTACATTCGTATGGCAACTTTGAAAGCTTACATTCTATCCCTACATGTTATTCCTTTGTTGATAAAATTGCACATCACAAGTGATGAAAAATATAGCACGGAGAAGTTCAAATTTGTGAAGGTGAAAGATATTCCTCAACAAATAAATGGGTAAGGTTGACTACTTTCAAATTTGTTAGTACTATATTATTTTAGCGTTAGGAATTAATATAAATTTACGACTATTTTGTAGATCTGAGTACGAGATATTCACTTCGAAGTATATAGAATTTTCGTGAGCAAATATGGATGTAAATGAAATTCACTTGGATTATGTACCGATATGGCCGAAGAAATTGGCTCCAGAGTTGTTGACATTGGATTTGGAGCCTTAAATTATTTTTTGCTAATTTAATTGATATTTTGATACAGTTCTGTAGTTACTTTGTTCTGTTTGTTTAGAGTAATTGATATTTAAAGAATGTTATATAGCTACTTCGTTTTCTTGATTTAGGGTTAAATAGAAATATGAAAGAGGAATTAAGGTAATAATGTCTTTTTGTATATAAGAATATTTTAGTTATTTACAAATTATATTTTTTATTTTTAGGCTTTCTAACTAAAAATTGAACTTTTTAAACTAATACTAGTTTGACACACGTGCGATGCACGTCTCGTTGGTGAAGTTGGGTATTAAATAGTGTGT